TGGATAATAAATTATGGCTCCACGGACCGAACTGGCTCTCTAATGAAAATAACTGGCCTCAGCAAAAAGCTCACATTATGCCAGAAGAAACAGTTTGCTTGAACACAGCAGAAATAAGTTGTGTAAATACTACAGACAACAGAAATAGTCATTGATGGATCTAAATACTCATCTTTGGGTAAACTCTTAAGAGTTACAGCTCTTGTCTTTGAATTCAATAAAGGAATAAAACCTGATTACGAATGTCCTGAACCCATTAAATACTGGGTGAAACTAATACAGAAAGATGTTTTCTCTATAGAATATAAATTTCTAGAAACAAGATAAATCCCCAAAGAAACCTGTTATGATTAATTCTTTAGGACGTTATCTCGACTCAGAAAAGATTATAAGATGTCGAGGAAGAATTCATAATTCTTCACTACCTAAAGAAGCCATACATCCAATATTGATCCCCAAGAATCATTGGCTAACAAAACTGATTGTGCAAAACGCCCACAGTAACGTGTTACATGGTGAGGTAGCTGACACACTTTGTCATTTACGACCATCCTACTGGATACCTCAAGGTCGACAAAGTGTGAAAAAACAAATAAAGGCCTGTATTACTTTTCGTCACTACAATATGCGACTAATGTCAGTATCCAGGTCCACCTTCATATCCCTTGAAAGAGTTTGAGGTGACAGGTGTAGATTACACTGGACCAATAATTTTAACCAAAACAGTTGACAAAGTTCCCATCAAGGTGTACATTTGTTTTTCACTTGTGCTACAATAGGAGCAGTACTTAGAAGTAGCCACGGACATGTCTTCTGAAAACCTTTATCAAATTATTCAGAAGGTTTGCAAGCCAGAAGGGCATGTCCCCCCAAGCTGATGATTTCAGATAATCCAACGAAACTTTTGTTCTGGTGCTGCTTATTAGCAGATCTTTGATCACCAGAAGTACAACTATTACAAACAGGATCCAAAATGGCCTGTTATCCAGGGTGTAATTAGGAGCAAAACAAACATCAGCAGAAAAAGTTTAGACAATTATCCTTCGCCTATTTAGAAACAGCAATATGTCACTCTGTCACTGATAAGTAAGTGCACTACACGGTAAGAAAGGCAGAAATAGAAGCCACAAGATAGCAGACCGTGCTTCTAACAAGCTCTAGAATCAGGGAATGACAAGGGCAGACAGGAGAGTGGTACCCACATAACCTCTGCGATTGCCAAAACCACCATATTATTGGCTAGACTTGGTCACTAGTTGAACGACGGGGCCCCATCATCAACTCTTAGCAATCCTGGATTCGCCTGGTGGAGTGGGCTGGGGTAGATGATGTAAATGAGGGTGTGTACATGCGCCGACATAAAGGTTACGTACTATTTGCATGCCACACCCCCACCCCGGAGAAGGCTCAGGATTAGGTTGCACTCCCAGTGGTAACGTTGCCGACCAGCACAAAAAATTAATGGGACCGCCTTTTCTTATCCACCATCCAACTATTAGATAGAGATCAAGCCTTTCTCGTGACAAAAAGCAAACCCTAAACTCAAAGTGAGACAGCAGTCTGTCAGGCTAGCCATAGGTCAAGATACAGCGGACGGTAGCCACGCATCCCTCACAAATAAAGCAAAACCCCACACCAGGGGATAAAAAAAAAAGAGCGTGAAATGGGGTTACCACAAATATATAAAAAATCCTAACCTAAATAAATAAAAAGTATTAGATAGATAATGAGTCGCCAACACATTTTTTTGCCGGCAATATATTTAATTCTGAGTGAGTATGGTTCAGTCTCTACCGTCCAGCGCATGGCTGGAGATATACTAGAGAGGATTTGTGATCACTGTAGACATGTGATCACCTTGCGATGTCTGGCCTCATTAAACATCGTAAATGCTCAAAGCCAGTACAGAGCGAGGGCTTCTTTTTCAATGGTGAGTAAGCCCCTCTGATGTGGCTGGAAATGGCTGAAAATATGCTAACAGGCTGGCAACTCCTCATTCTCGATTGTAATAGTACTGCCCCAACCCCAGACTCACATAGCATCAACTGACAATGAAAAAGGTTTGGGAGAAGTCTGGAGGACAAAAGCAATGGGTGCAGATTTCACAATAATCTTTTTGCTTTTTTAAATAGCAGTGTGACCTTTTTGAGGTCAATAAAGGAACTGTGTGACTGGTAAGAGAGGTAAGAGGGGCTACAATATCTGAGAAATTTCTTACAGAATCTTCTGTAAATCCTTTTATGCCTAGGAAACGTTGAAGAGATTTCCTATTCATGGGGAACTGGGATAATCTTTATTAGCAAGAACTTTAGCAAATTTTAGGTGCAACTTTACCACTTACTATTCATGGCCTAGAGAAAGTTGATAGTGGCCTGGGCCAAGGAAGATTAGATAATTAACTGTTAAATGGGAACTCTTAAAGGTTCTCAAAAAAGAGCTTAAGTCATAAGTAGGTGTTGATCACAAGGTATCAGACACCACAAACAATATCATTAGGTATGACTGATCCCCCCCCCCCCCCCCCCCCCCCCCCCCCCCCCCCCCCCCCCCCCCCCCCCCCCCCCCCCCCCCCCCCCCCCCCCCCCCCCCCCCCCCCCCCCCCCCCCCCCCCTGCTTCAAGTCCTTTAATAGCCTGATGGATAAGTTTTTGGATTGAAGAGGGGGAATTTTTCATTCTGATGGGGGTAATGTGTATTGATAATGACCTCTGGAATTACAAAGGCAGAGTTTTCCTTCGCCTTATCCGTTAAAAGGTCCTGATATGTAACCTTCATAGGAGATTAAACTTGGGACACAAAAGTCGCCTACACACAAAGTCAATTACGTCATCAGGACGAGGAAGAGGTAAGATCTGTAATTGTGACCTCATTCACTTACGGTAGTCTGTAACTACGAAACCCTCCATCAGCCTTTCTTCACAAGGATGGTGCACGGTGAAGCCCAATGGATAGAAGACTCCTCACTTAACCATGTTTTAACAAAATTCTACTTCCTGCTGAAGTAACCTGGCTTTTCAGGATTAGTCTGTAGGGGGAGAGTTTAATTGTTTAGAGTTTCCACATCTACATCATGATAACCTAACGTACATTTTTTCGCACAATCGAAAAAATATTAGGATTTGATGTAGAAGCTAAGTTAAATTTTGTTGCTTGCGTTTCAGTTAGCCCTCCTTTAAAGGGCTAGGATCCCTTGAGGACAGAATTTGAAAAGTTTAATATTAATTTCAGAGATAGAGTCGCAAAGAATCAGAGGTCGCCTCAGAGGGTAGAGGTCAAGTCATTTTGGACTTTACTATGGTGTATGGAAATATTTTAACTTGATTAATGTGGTATATTTTAGTTTTTGAAGGTTCTTATCAATCGGAGCTACCAAATATTACATCAGATAATCTACTTGACAATCTGCATAGTCCTGTAAATCTAGCTTTTAAGGTATGGCCAGGTATAGGTTCTGTCACCATCACCTTGTCTCTGGAGGAAGGAGCGGAATTTGCACTTCTGTCTACCTCTGTTTCATCATACTTTGAGCTGTCTTTAGGTTAGCCTTGGCTAACTGACGGGCCACCTGCACCTGCAAGAAGGGTTGTAGAAGTGTGAGCTAAGTCTTCTCCCATCCATCTTTCTTTGAGCACCGAAGAGGACTCGTACATTGTGCCAAAGATCAGCTCAAACGGGGACTTGATATAGTTCCTGTCGACTCTTACACCTCTCCTCGTACTGAGAACAGCAACAAAGGTAGTGATTCATCCCAGTCTGTAGAAAGCTGCATGCAAAAAAGTTCTTCATCATTGTTTTTAATGTCTGATGGAATCTTTTCCAAGGAGCCTTGGGGAATGAGGGATGATAGGCAGTGGATATGGTTTGGATTATCCCTAACTAGTTAATCTTCCCAAAATGCTTTGGCATGTAAAAGTTAGTACCTTGATCACTTCGCATATTTTTAGAAATGCCAAAACCAAGAAAGAATTGGTTAAAGCTTTGAGAATAGCTCTTTAGTAGTAATTACTAAGCATGGAATTGCTTCAGGATATATGCGTTACTTTATCCATAATCGTAAATAAAATATTGATTCCCAGGTCTTGGACTAGGTGTGGAACCTACACAATCTATAATTAAATCTGCCAAAAGGATATCTCATCAGCTAGGTATAGGTTGGAGAGGTGCAGGTTTAATGGAATGTCCAGGTTTCACATACTTGCTGACATTCTCCGGCAACAACCTAATATGATTCTTCAATCTTTCTTTAATTTTTGGCCAATAAAATCCTTTTGTGTTCTATACCAGGTTTTGTAATTCCTAAGTGACCTCCTAATGAAGTATTATGAAACTATTATATAATATTTGAGGTTCTAAACTGGTTGGAACTACTAACCTGCCATACAAATTGCGGCCCTCTATCTCCTTACCAGTTCAGTGCAGATCAAATAATCGTTTTTAATTTCATACTTGACCGATGAACAAAGAGGATTTAACCCATTGGCTGCATCAAAAGCGAATTTTAAGAAGGGTCCTTTCGTTGTTCCTCCCGGAAGGACCAGTCCTCGGGCATGGGAAAAAAGAGACATCTGGCAATTTCCTGCAGCCTGGGAATAGGTAGGCTTGATCGGGGTCTGCTTCTCTTTATTTATGAGGCTCCGGCCGGTGTGGCCCATAAAACAAAGTGGCTATTCCGAGATCGGAGTCGTCCAAGATAGGTCAACATTCTCTCAGACAAACCCTCTGGGATGTTGCCCGAGTTCATGGACAACACCGGAGAAGAATTACTCATTATAGGTTACAGGTACTGCACTATCTAGTAGTAATGTAATTACCGTAATAACATGGCATCTTTCATGGGGAATCCTTTGGTGGACACTACAGTCTAGTACCCAGTTTGTAAATATTGCCACTGTACATAAATTTTAGCAAAGGACAGATTATATAGGGCTCCTCAAATGCTTCCAATAAAAACAGAGTGAATTCAAGGAGTTTCTCTGAGAGGAGGAATATTCCTTCTCTTACAAGTGAGCAATATGCTTCAGTATCTCTAAGGTCTTTTACTTCAGTTGTTTCTGAGTTTTCTGAAGGGGAAATTAAGACTTGAATAACAAGAGGCCATACCTTTTTCTACTTTCTCTAGGGGACATGTTACTTAGGGATATTACGAGTTTTTCCCAATGGTTGGAGTTTATGGCGGGTGGAGGGCAGTTGCGACGGATGTGACCTAATTTGTTACAGGAGGAAGCAGACGCAGGCTTGCCCTTTACTCCTGCGACGTTGCAAATGTGTCGTTCGGGCAGGTGTTCTATGGGGGAATACTGTTGTCGAGTTGCACCACGAGTAGTTTGCCTCTCGGCAGGTGGGGACCATATGTTGAGATGCAGTGGCTACAGGTGACTTTAGCTTGGCTGACGAGTAGACGTTATCTCCTCCGGCTGGCAATTCAATTTCTCCATAGGTTGACGATTCCTATGCTCATGCCAGGCTGTTGAAAAGAGCGACGGGACCGCTCGGACAAGGAGCGGATTAGTTTTCGAAGGTATCAGCCAACCTGGCTGCCTCCAATGCAGTGGTTAAGTCACGATCTGCAGAAAGACTCGAACCTCTGGTACACAGACTCCAGCAGATTATTCATTCAGTATAGCTGTACCAGCTCCTCAAAGGTAGAGAACACACTGCTTATACCAAGCTGGTCAAAAGATTGGTTTGGCTGTCTCACAAAGTCACTAGGGATTGACCAAAGCTGCCCGCCCTGATTAATTTAAAAATCTTTCTATATTTGGCTGGATACATGATATATGCTCCCAACACTGTGGTCTTCACTACTTTATAATCAGAAAATTCAGCGTCATTTAATGCTGACGGTAATTCCTGTGCCTTACCCCAAAAATGCTGTATTGAACCAACGATGCCCAATGCTGTTCCGGCCACCTCAAGGCTCGAGCCTGATTTTCGAAAGCTTTCGAAAAATTGTTCGGTTCTGCCTCATTGAAGAGGGGAACAGCTGTACTGCTTTTGGTAAACTAAAATCTTTACAGAATACGAAAATGCCTCCTTTCTCTTTCCTATCAAATTTTCCTTGCGAATGCTCTCTGTTCCCAGTTTGCTCAAGATTGATTTTTGCCAGCTCAAGATGCCAACGACGCTGATTCACCTGGAGACAACCCAGCTGCACTATACTGACCATTGCTCCGAAGGTGTATCATCTTCCTCATGCGAGGAACATAGTAGTTTTTGCCTAGCTCCCGTTGAGGGAGGGAGTCTGATGGTGCCATCTCTTCTCTATTAAGTTTGTCAGCAATCAGTGAACGCAGATGCGCGCCGACAGTGGAGGTGCCAATGGAACGAGCAATTTCCAACAGGCTGTAGGGACAATTTAGGTAGGTTATGCAAAGTATATGGCGCACCAGACGTCTGGACTCGTTAGGTTGCATAAGTTATTCGCTATGAACGTACGATTGCAGAATACCCCACGTACACGTTAATTGCAGAACAGCTTGCTTGCCACAGTACGAATTGCAGAATACGCATACAAGCAAAGCCGACTGCAAAATCTCTCCACACCGAACAGGCTAGTAAACAACCGACACGCAAAATTGTAAAGCAATGCCAGAACCACACCACGTTCTAGAAGATTGACCGTTAGCGAAGCGAGCACACCGAACAAGCTAGTAGCGAGCTGTTGAACGATCACACAATAGCACTAAGGGGTGCCATAACAGTAACATGACACGCAAATTTGTAAAAAGCGTAGGCAACAAGCAATGCAATTGCCAGACAGCAACCTGCACAATGTTCCTGCTACGAGTTCACCCTAAGCTCAACCGTTTCTCTAAGTCCAGCTCCAGCTTCGGACAGGCTACCCATATTACAACCCAGGAATCCAAACGGCTGTTATCACGGGTGTAATGGGGAGCAAAAATAAACACAGCAGAAAAAGTTTAGACTTATTTTATCCTTCACCAATTTTAGAACAGCAATATGCTAAACTATGTACAGTGATAAGTATAGAGCACTCCAAGGTAAGCAAGGCAGAAAGAAGCCACAAAGATAACAGACCGTGCTTCAACCAGCTCTAGAATGGAATGACAAGGGCAGACAGGAGAATGGTACCCACTTAACCTACTGCGATTGCAAAACACCATCTTATGGCTAGAAACCTGGTCACTAGTTTGAAACGAACGCCCCCGGGCCCCATAATCAACTCTTTAGCACCTGGTTCGCTGGTTGGGGGAGATTGCCTGTAAATGAGGGTGTGTACAATGCGCCGAATATAGGTTACGTACTCTTCTGCAATGCCCACACACAGATTGCTGAAATCAAGCAGGTTGGGTCGTTGGTGATACATTCCTCATAACTCTCCATGGCACGGCGGATTTTATGAAAGATGATCGGCATTGCTAAAAGTTGTTTATGGGAGACTCTTCATCGTCAAAGAATAGACTTAGAATATTCCGTACAGTTGTGAAGAAATAGAAAATAGAGTCAAAAACAGACCCCTAAATTACCCTTACGATGATCTGGACAATTTAGAAGTTTTAAATCCATCTCATTTTTTCCATGGAAAAGACTCGAGAAATTAAATGAATGATAATAGTTCACTGCAGCGAACCTCAGCCCCCCTAGTTGGAGAATTTTCTAGGGGGGGGGTTCACCCCCCCTTCCCCCCCTTTTACCCCCTTTCAGCCTGAGGGGCCCAGCCCTTAAAGGAGCATTTGTTTACTGCTACAGCGAGAAATTGATAGAGATGCGTACGATTTGGGGACGTGGTCGCTTCGCCCGACGCTCCTTGCGGGTTTGAAAAGTGTTTTAATAAGAGACGTCCATCTTTTACCTTAGCAGGAAAATTTAAAGGAAAATCCTGCTCCCACTTTATTCCATGGTAAGAAGTTTTACATTGTTGTCTATGCTTAAGACAGCAAGAATCAAACATTTGCTTTGCTTCATGGAGGAAGTGGCAGGGAAGTAAAATACTGGTCATTTTTCCTTTGTGCTAGGGGTAACGGCGGGGGGGTGCTGTGGCATCTTCAGATTACTTTGACCACTGGGGAGGCACGACCCCGGGAAAACCCAAACAAAGAACGATCTGTGGGGTTTTGTGAACAAAGTGTCTCTTTGAACACAAAAAAAATTTAAAGAGAAGTGTGATCAGCTTCTTTAGTGTAAAAGATTGTGAACAATAAAGAAAAATTTTAGTTTTTCCCAGTGTGCGTATTCCTGACTAGGAAGACGTGGACCCAAGGAACTTACTTTTATCAAGTCACAGATACCGTCAAAGGGGGAAAGAAACCTACCACGTACAAGAGCAGGTAGGTTCGAATTTTTTGTAAGGGGGAAGTGCAGTTTCTTGAGTCGCAAGGGTTTGTAATCAACCTTAGTCGGGATTAGGTGCGGGGCTTTTTACCAACAAGTAGTTTTCAGCAAACAGTGAATGAAATTGCGACAAACTCCCCCCAGGGGAAATTTTTTAAACTTAAAAAAATTTTAACTCATTTTGCCCGTTGAGGAATGCTTCGACAGCTTCTCAAGACCTCGTCTTCGGGGCGCTGTGCGACGTAGCTGTCTTTTTTGTTAAGTTTCCCCATACAAAAAGTATAAACTTGTGGTAAAAGCCATTTCCAAAAGACCAGACCCCGCGACAAGCTGTAGGTCCAACCACACCCACCCCACCCACCCCCATGTATTTATTAACCCTTTTTTTTAAAAATACACAACGTTTTGCCTCAATAAACTATACTCGGGGGTTTTTTCCATCTCCAAACCTATTACCAAAAAAAGTGCTTTCCCATACCCTTTATGAACTGAATTTTTCCAAATTGAAACCTTGTTGCGAGTCCTGTCTTGGTGGAAATTTTCAGACGCTCTTTTCATCCCCTTTATTTATTCAGTTTTCCCTTTATAACCTCGATCAATCCCTCCCAATTCTACGCCTTTTTGAGAGAGTGCAAATTCAGGGCCCTCATCTATCCCCATAGGAAAATTTCTGAACAAGGGGCAAATTTGTCTCCCCCTTTGTACTTTTTTAGAGCATATATATCCATTCTGTAATAGGGACCGAAACTGACAGCATAGTCTAAATGAGGCCTAACCAAGGATATATTGAGTTGAAGAACAACCTGAGGACTTCTATTTTTTTATACTTCTAGATATGAAGCCATGAATTCAGTTAGCTTTATTGCGAACACTATCACTGTTGCCTTGGGTTTTAGATTACTGCAAACCAGAACTCCTAAACCCTTTTTTGGGCAATCAGTAGTATTAAGTTTCTACATTATTTAGTTTATGTGGGGCATGGTTATTTACCTGTCCAACATTTAGAACTTTGCATTTGTCAATATTAAACTGCATTTTCCACTTCTCCGACCATTGCATCAGTCTATTCAAATCATCCTGGAGTGTCTAATATCCTCATTAGAATGAATTGGACAGTCTATTTTTGTGTCATCAGCAAATTTGCTTATGTCGCTATTTATTCCCTCATCTATGTCGTTTATTTTAAAATTGTGAACAACAACGGGCCCAACACTGACCCTGGGGAACACCGCTTGTGACGGGGCCCCCCCTTCTGAATTTCTCCCCTTTATGCAAACTCTCTGCTGTCTATTTGTCAGCCTGTCTCTACCCAGGAAAAAATTTCTCCTTCTATTCCGTTGCCTTAAGTTTCCTCAATAGCCTTGGTGTGGAACTATCGAAAGCCTTACTGAAGTCCATATACACAATAACATATTCATTTCCATGATCTACCTCCTCAAACACCTTAGTGAAAAATGTTAGTAAATTCGTAAGACAGGGAAAGCCCATTTGTAAAACCGTGTGAGAATCATTAATTAATCTGTGTCTATCAAGATGGCTATGAACTGCTTCGGCAATTATTGATTCCATAAATTTTTTCCCCCTATGGAGGTAAGGCTTATTGGTCTATAGTTCGAAGCCAGGGACCTGTCACCTGCCTTGTAAATTGGTATTACATTTGCCATTTTCCACTTATCAGGCACTATGCCAGTTTGTAGTTTATGTTAAAAAGATTATCCAAAGGTATGCTAAGGTCCTTTTACATTCCTTTAACACCCTTGCAAACAGTTCATCAGGACCGGGGGTTTTGTTGGGTTTTCGTTTCTCATTTGTCTGGGACTATGTACTAGTTACCCAATCGTACATATTTATTATCTCCTGTTCAAATTAATCTTTTTCGGAAATCGCTGTTTTTTCCGGGGTAAAAACGAGAGGAAGTGGGGTATTTAAAATTTCACCAACCCTTATCGCTGTGTGATCTCAGAGTTACTCTTAAGGGGGCCAATTCTTGCCCTAATCTTACTTCTGTATACCTGAAAGAACCCTTTTTGGGGTTGTTTTTAAACCCCCCCCCCCCCCTTGCCCCTTTTGCCTATACCCCTTTTTGCTTTTTTTTTCCCCTTTTTTTTATTTTCTCTTTAATTGAATATTTTGTTTTTAAAACTGCCATCCCTCCTTTGATATGCCCTATAGCCTCTTTTTGGCCAAGGGAATTTTTTTAATTTTATTGTTATCCATTTGGATTTTTTGTTAGACTAATTTCCCTACTGGGAAAACATAAGTTGTTGAGCGCTAAAATTGCTCTAAAAAAACGTCATATTGGCAACTAAGATACACTTTTTTTGACATAGTTCCTGAAACTCTCAGATCAACTACAATATTCACAACAGAAGTTTGGACTTATATCTATACTTTTTTGTAAAGGGAAATTTTTTTCCCCAGGGAGGTATCAGCAAAACCCCCCCTTTTAAAACCTTTTAGGGGGGGGGGCCAAGTTGGAAACCTTCCCCCAAAAAAAGGGGGGGGGGGAAATTTGGGGAAAAAGGGGGGGGCCCCCCCGGTTAAAAAAATTTTGGGGGGGGGGGCCCCGGGGGGGGGGGGGTTTTTTAAAAAAAGGGAAAAAGGGTTTAAAACCCAAAAAATTTTTTTGGGGGGGGAAGGGGGTTTTTTGGGGGGGCCCCCGGGGGGAATTTTTTTTTCCCCCGGAAAATTTTTTTTTTTTTTTAAAAAAAAAGGGGGGGGGGGGGAAAAAGGGGGGGGTTTTTTTGGGGGAAAAAAAACCCCCAAAAATTTTTTTGGGGGCCCCCCCAAAAATTTTTTTTAAAAAACCCTTTTTTTTTTTTTAAAAAAAAAGGGGGTTAAAACCCTTTTTTTTTTCCCCTTTTTTTTTTAAAAAATTTATTTTTAATTTTTTTTGGGGGTCAAATTTTTTTTTTTTTTTTTTTTGGGGGGGGTTTCCAAAAATTTTTTAAAAAACCCCTTCCGGAAAAAAAAAAAGGGGGGTTTAAAAAAATTAAAAACCCCAAAAATAAACCCAAATTTGGGGAAAAAAAAAAAATCAAAAAATTTTT